AGAAGATCCTTCTTGTAAGGACTACAGGATGAGGGATGAGGGACCCTGATGGCTGGACCCAGGGTGTTCAAGGCATGTTAGATGCCAGTGTGCAGAGGATCCAGAACTCTCTTGGAGCACCAAGATAAGAATTGTTGGGACAGGAAGGGTACAAGGATGAAAGCTGGGTTCCATCTTCCCTTCCACTCTAAATTGATCAAGTTACTACTTGCTAGTTCTTAGGGTTGGGATGGGAAGAATCCCTTATGCTCCTATGAGAATCGAGAAAGCTGTCTGGGTATGTATTCTTCCCACTATTGAAGGACCTTTATCAGTAAAGCGCTAGTCAAAGGGGTGGGTCCTTCTGCACGAGTGATTCTGGGCCTGGTCTGCCTTCAGCTACGTCTTGTTCATCTGTTTCTTGACAGTGGCACTGACCCTTTGTTTTCCATCTCTCCTTCAGGTGAAGGCAAGGTCCTTTGGACTAGTCAGAAACACCCTTCCAGCCCTGAGGGAATCAAGATGAGGCTTTATCGTGTCCCCCCAATGAGGCCCACAGCCTGAGCAGATAGCATGGCCTACCACTGGCAGTGAGCAACATGGCTGCAGGAGGTGGCCGGGCCTTTGCTTGGCAGGTGTTCCCCCCCATGCCCACTTGCCGGGTATATGGCACAGTGGCACACCAGGATGGACACCTGCTGGTGTTGGGGGGCTGTGGCCGGGCTGGGTTACCTCTGGATACTGCTGAGACACTGGACATGGCCTCGCACACATGGCTAGCATTAGCACCCCTGCCCACCGCCCGGGCTGGTGCAGCTGCTGTGGTTCTGGGTAAGCAGGTGCTAGTGGTGGGTGGCGTGGATGAAGTCCAGAGCCCAGTAGCTGCTGTGGAGGCCTTCTTGGCTGATGAAGGCCGCTGGGAGCGCCGGGCTACCCTCCCTCAAGCAGCCATGGGTGTTGCGACTGTGGAGAGAGGTGAGTGGCTTAGAATGTCCCTCAGGTGCCCCAGCAGCTTCCTTTCCTTTTCTCTTGACCGAGTCCATTATCACAGAGACACAATAAGTACCGCCTTGGACATGGCTTTGCCTCCTGTCTCTTCTCTTACCTAGGCTTGCTGAAGCTTACTCTTAATTGTCTTTTCTGGGCTATGAGGTGGGGGTCAGAGCCCAGAAGGCCCCCAGAAAGATGGGAGACCCCAGCCACTACCCTGTCCTGTTCTTTGTAACTAAGAGACAGTGGGGGGTGTGGCCTAATGACTCTCTTATAGCTATAAATAGTATGGAGGGGGAGGGGAGCAAGGCCTTGGCTCTGAGCCCAGCAAGTGCTTAAGTGCTTAGCCCCCCCCCCCCCAGCACACACCAGGGATCCTGATGTGGACAAAGGCCAAGCCGACCTGGAGATGGTTGCCATGGAAGCCCCCAGCTGCCTGGCATATCACCCAAAGGCCTGTGGATGTGCCCCTAGCTGACTCTGAGCACCTAACAGCTCTATTGAAACAGCACAGTGTAGAGGCTGACATGGCGCCCTAGGCTGAAAGCCTTGGCCAGCACCTCTATCCTACAGGTCCAAGCTCACTTCCCAGCCCCAAGCCTTCACCAAGTTGATCCCCTAAGTTCCCTTCCCAGGCTGGGCTTCATGCTGAGCAAATCTCCTTATAGCCTCTACTACTGTCTTAAGATACCCCTACCCCCTTAGGGGGCCTGCCCCCTAAACACACACACACACACACACACACACACACACACACACACACACACAAAACTTGTGGCCTCCAGGTCTGACCACCAGTCCCAGGCTAGCCTGTTAAGATGCCAGATTTGGTTGCCATAGCGTCTCCAGGGAGACCGTGCTGGATTATAATTAGATCAGCTGCCTCCTGCTCTTCACTTGGAGGGGCCTAGGCCAAAGCTGGAATCCCAGCTCTCCTAGCTCCCACTTCAGATGGAGCAACAAAGTTTTTTGATAAACACATGGGTCTCCTTCCACCCCTGGGTCTGACAGAGGGAGCTGTCTGGGTGGGTGGGGTTCATCAGCCAGACATGGTTGTACAGTCTGAACTACTCTTTTCTGTGCAGATGGTATGGTGTATGCTCTGGGGGGAATGGGTCCTGACACGGCCCCCCAGGCCCAGGTACTGGTATATGAGCCCCGCCGGGACTGCTGGCTTTCGCTACCCTCCATGCCCACACCCTGCTATGGGGCCTCCACCTTCCTGCACGGGAACAAGATCTATGTCCTGGGTAAGGGCTGAGGGACGTGGCAAAGGGGAAAAAAGGAGTCCTGAAGGTTGTCTAGATTAGGGATCAGTCTTAGTCTGAGACATTAGGATTTGAGATGTTTTGTTGGGGGTAATCCGGGCCTATTCTAAAGCCTTCTTGGTGGCCCAACTGGGGTTGGAAAATCATATTCAGTGCTGAGGGTTTATGTGGTCTCATGGCTAATCCATGGGCAGATGTGTACACAGCTGGGTGTAGGGCCTGACGAGGACAGCTCAGCAGCCTGGCAAGGATACCAGCAAGCCCTTTGGGCTCTGTCCCAGGTGCTTCAATTCCTTTGACAGGAGGCCGCCAGGGCAAGCTCCCAGTGACTGCTTTTGAAGCTTTTGATCTGGAGACCTGTACATGGACCCGACACCCAAGCCTGCCCAGCCGCCGAGCTTTTGCTGGCTGTGCTATGGCCGAAGGCAGTGTCTTCAGCCTGGGTGGCCTGCAGCAGCCTGGGCCCCACAATTTCTACTCCCGCCCGCACTTTGTCAACACTGTGGAGATGTTTGACCTGGAGCATGGTGAGCAGTGTCTGTTCTAGTCTGTTCTACTCTCCATGGGACAGAAGGGAGTGTGTGTGTGCGTGTGCATGTGCATGTGTGTACATGTGTGTGTGTGTGTGTACTCACACACACACACACACACGCACACACACTTTTGCATCTGTGTATGTCTGTGTAGAATACACCTTACATCATCTCTCTTTCAGGATCCTGGACTAAGCTGCCTCGTAGCCTGCGGATGAGGGATAAGAGGGCTGACTTTGTGGTTGGCTCCCTTGGGGGCAACATTGTGGCTATTGGGGGTCTTGGTAAGTGTCTATGGGGCTAAGAAAAAGATGTTATAAAGCAGGAGAAAGTACCTCCTAGCAGGACCACCTTCTCTAGACAACAGTGTCAGAGCCTCCTGAACTCTTTGCCTATCTATAAATTGGGGAACTTGTGGTTCGTCTGGCCCAGCTCTAGGAGTGTCTGCCATGCCTGACTGGGGACTCTAAGACACAGAAGCAGAACCGAGGACGGAATGTGACCAAATGGTCAAAGCATGAATGAATGGATGAATGAATGAACTTGGGCACTGAAGCACAAGGCACTGCAGGGGTAGTACTTACTGGGCCATTGTCCAGGGGAAGGAGCAAAGGGGTCTTCAGCCCCTTACCATCATCTATCTGCATCCGCCAGGGAACCAGCCATGCCCTTTGGCCTCCGTGGAGAGCTTCAGTCTTGCACGGCGACGCTGGGAGGCACTGCCTGCCATGCCTACAGCCCGATGCTCCTGCTCCAGCCTGCAGGCTGGGCCCCGGCTGTTTGTTATTGGGGGTGTGGCCCAGGGCCCAAGTCAAGCTGTGGAGGCACTGTGTCTACGTGATGGAGTCTGAAAACCTGGTGAGACATGTCTACCAGAGCAGCTCAGTATAGAAGCAGATCAGGCTCCTTTTTGCTGCTGAGGGCGCTCCCCATGGCTCTGTAGGATGAGGGAGGCACAGGAGAGGGCACCTGAGTTACCGCCTTAGGGACTTGGGCTGGGGAGCCTTTGTCTTTAGCACAGGACACACATGCTCACACCTATTTTTATTACCATCCACTCACGTACCATAGCTAGCTCCGCCTATGCCCTAGAAGTTACTAGGCCCCCTGTCAACTCTGACAAGTGAAGAGCAAAGCATCAGCATCACAGGCTACAGCATAGAACCTAAGAGCTGACCAGGCCCTCTCCAGTGGCCAGTCTGGGAAAGTCTGAGCTTCCAGTCTTCCTTGAGGGCTCCTGTGGACCCCAAGAGTATTCTGAGAATAGAAATCACAGAAGAAACGGAGGAGGGAATGTGGGACTGCCAAGGGGCCAGCGGATCGCCGGCCTTCCCATCTGTACTGCGGCTTGTGTGACCCGGGGCAGGTCATTTCACCTCTCTGTGCCTCAGCATCCTCACCTGTAAGTGAGGATCTCTGAAACTTTCCCGCCCCACCTACCTCACAGGGCTGTTGTGAGGACCCAGGGAGTTTTGATGTAGAAATAAAAATACTGCTCAAATCTGGTATGTGGCTTCTTGTGCAGACTCTCACGTTGTTCTTTCAAGCCTCAATTCTGTCAGGGGTGAGAGTCCACAGGGAGCGTCAGAAACCTGATAACCATATCTGAAGACACCTGGCGTCTCAGGTCGACCTAAGCCTCGGCTTTGTCTTAAATGACAAAGGATGTCTTGAATGTTTGGGGACTTGATAGGATGACCAGAAGAGGACTTCCAAAACCAACATTTCACAAGGTTAGGATGACCTCTAGAGCCAAGTCATACAGTGTCTCCTCAAAGGTTCTGCATACCCTAGAGTATTGGCAGTTGGGTGACTCAACTGGATAGTGCCCGGGGCAGTTTCCTTGTGAGGCATCTCTTAGGCAGGACTGTGTAGCTGAACCGCCAAACCCGTCAAAGGCACCTGGCTCCTGGAAGGAAATGCTAGCCCTTGCCCCTCTCTCTCTCAGCCTGACTGCTCTAGTAGGACCCCTGAAACTACATTGAGTACAAGAGGCTACAATTACTGAGGAGTTACTGAGTCCCATGGTCATGACGACTTTTCTGGACTCTAGAGTCTGCGGCATGTAGGCTTATCCTTTCCTAGTGGCAGGGGTTCCTAGACAGCACCTCCCAAGCCCAGCACACAGAAATCATACATACTTCATGGGAGTCAGACACAAGGCCCGCTAGGGAGCTTGCTCAGAAGCACCCCCAGATATCTTAGACTGTGAGTACAAACAACCTGCTATGTCAGCTGAACCTTTTTAATGCTTGGGACCAGTTTAAACACTCAGAAACTCCGGCGTGAAGGTAGTGCTGCAGCAACTTGGGCTTTGGGATTCCCGGGAGGTCAGGCAGTGTTTCAGTGACTGGCTCACGGGGCCTTACCTTGGTGCTACCACAGTGACCACCCCGGGATGGCTGGCAGAAGTTGTGTTGGTAGGTGGTATTGGCATAGGGAGGCTGGAGCTGCACAAAATGGACAAGGCGCTGGGGGAGCCTAGTGAGTCCTGTGCCTGACCGGAAATCAGTCTGGTAGGATGATTCCAGAGGCGGCTGCTGGCTCAATTCCAGCTCGCAGGGTGCCCAGCGCAGGAAGGTGTGTCTCTTCCACAGGCGTTCCAGGTCTTTCCGTCTTCCAATTCCCTGCAGCAGGCAGTAGGGACCCTTCTCAACGGTACGGGCTCTTGGCCCACAGTCTTGGCATCCAGGATTTGCTTGGGACCCATCTAATCCCAAGTCATCTCGGTAATGCTGAGATTGTGCCTGGCCTCCCTAACCTGTACTCACATCCTAAGTAATACTATCATCTTAGCATGAAGCCCCTGAGTGACCTCCCGGGATAGTTGTTGACAGTTGAGCAAACTAGCTAAGAAAACCAAGGCAAAATTGCCTCTGTCTGGGGGATGAGGTTTTTAGCAGTGGAAAAGGTTATGGGGAAATAGATGCTCTTCTGCTTATGTAAGAAACCCATTCCCTAAAGGTCTCGGGTCTATCCTGCTGCCTGCTGCTGCTTCCTCTGCATCAGCCAAGGGACACCTCCCCCTTCCTCTTTCCTTTCCGACTCACTTTGTCGAAGGAAGTACGGTTGTCGTGCTTGGAGAAGAAATGTTGTCTTGCAGGCTCCTTGAAAGAAGATGAGAAGGGAGGTGAGGGCAGGGTGTGCTCACCAGCTCCTGCAGAGACTGCCTCGGGAGACACCACTTCTAAATGCTAAACTGCCAACACCCTGAAAGGGTAGAGACAAATCAAAGTGACGAGTCACCTCACCCCCATCCCTACCTAGAAGCTTTGGGACCACAGGCATGTCTGCCAGGACAGCCTGCCATCAGTGGAGGGCTTAAATCCAAGTTGCGTAGGACTAGGCTTCAGGCATCTCCCCTCTACCCGTGCTACCTAAGAGCATAGCTGCGCTCTGAGCCCTGAGTGACATCTGGAAATGAATATGTCTGGCTCCATTTGAGGGTATCTGCCCAACCCCAGGCTCAACAGCTAACTGCCTACTCCACATCTTCATGTCCAGGCAAGGCAGGGCACCTCGAAACACATCACTGAGCTATGAATTACCGCCATTTTGCCTACAGTTCAGGCTGTGGCACCTGACAAATAGATCCAAATATCAGAGTCCTCTCTGTTCTGTTTGTCTGTTGTTTTGAGACGCAGAATCTTGCTATGTAGCCCAAGCTGGCTTGTAATTCACTATACAGCCCAGGTTGAACTCGAAGATTCTTCTGCCTTGGCCTCTCAGGGGCTGGGATTACAGGTGTGAGCCTCCATACCTGGCTTGTCCTGGTTAAAACCACCATCCTCTCTTTCCTGAAGTATCAGAGAGTTTCCCACCCATGTCTAGGCTTTCAAGATCCCACATCCAGCCTGATATCTTCTCGGTAGCCAGAAATTCCTTAACTACATAAATCAGATCACATCTTGTTTGCCAAAAACTCTGTAAAAGCGTTTCATGTTTGTGACAATCAAAACCATAACAGTGATCTGTGAGAGCTATAAGACACACATCCTCCCTGACTCTGCTCCCAGCCATGCTAGACTCCTCTCTAAAGGCCAGCAACTGCTTCCTCAGGCCTGATCTGGTGAGCTCCACCATGGCTGGGTTGGTGGTGTTAGCGATGGCTGACAACAAGCTCAGATACAATGCAGAATTTGGGGTATTTCAGTCAGAGAGTGCTAGCCCAGTTGATTTGAGGCTCTGGATTTTTATCCCCAGACCAGAAAAAAAAAAGAAAAATAAATAAAGACAGAAAGAAGGAAGGAAGGAAGGAAGGAAGGAAGGAAGGAAGGAAGGAAGGAAGAAAGGAAGGAAGGAAGGGCAGAAGGAAGAAAAGAAAGGGAAAGGAAGGAAGGAAAGAAAGACTGATGGTTCAGGTAAAATGACATCTGTGGCTTGTCTTTAACAGTCTAAACTTTTGGCACTTCCTATCTTAGATATCGTAGATCTGGAAGTAAGCTCCAATCAGTATGATAGCTTTATGAAGAGAGGAATCTGGCCAGACTTCCTCTCTTTCCTTATAAAGAAGGTGACACATTTGGCACTAAACCCCCAGGGCTCCAGAAACTGGGGTTTAGCTCAGTGGTAGAGAGTGGGTTTCACATGTGCGTTCAGCACACACACACACACACACACACACACACACACACACCAGCTAACAATCAACCAACCAAAAAAACAAGGCTATTTAGAAAAAAAATAGGAGAAATTCTTCAGTATTTAGGGTGGACAAAGAGTTCTTACAATTGACACTAAAATCAAAAGGCAAGAAAAGAAAAAGTAAGCCAGGTGTGGTGGGCCTTAATGTAATCCTAGCAGGTGCAGTGGGCCATGATGTAATCCCAGCAGGTGCAGTGGGCC